CTCCCTCCCTCCCTCCCTCCACCTACCTATCTACCACCCACCTACCCTACCTTTCTAGGGCTCATTGTCTTTGTCCACAACGGGCTTTGCTCCCTAGTATTTTTATAAGGTGATAGGGTATTAATGTGCCTCCCGGCAGTATGTCAGGAGAGCATTTTCACAGGGCAGAGGACTGGCAGCTGGGGACAGGCAGAGAGCTGACTGGGGCATTGGGAGCCCAACTGCCTCCTTCCCACAGTCTCCTTGGCTTTTGGATCCCCAAGCAGCAGTTGGCACATTTCCCAAGTTTCTCTGCAGCTGTGAGGCTGCAGCTTTTTGAATTCTGTTGGCAAGCATCTAAAATAGGTAGGATACTTGACTGCAAATTTAATCTTTGAACCAGCCAGTCTCTGAATGCCCTTAACACCTTGTTTTATTTACACACATAAAGACATGCCTAACGGATGGTCTCCCCCCGGGCTCCGTCACCATGGCTTTGCTCGTCTGAGCAGGGCCTTCTGCAGGCACCAAGCTGCAAGTGGGCAAAGTCCAAGAGCTGCCCGTACAGCTGCCTTCCCTGTAGTGGCCCCCACCTTGAGGAACGGCCGGCCTGAGGAGGGCAGGAAGGCCCTCGCTCTCCTGGCTTCCCCCCAGGCTGTGCAAGACTGGGTTATCCAAGAGGGCTTTTCTGCACTGGGAGTTGGGGCAGCAGTGTGTCCCAAGAGGCTTCACAAAGTTACCTGAACAAATGATTGGGGACTGCGGTCTGTATATAGTTTGCTGTGGACTGGACCTTGTTGTGTAGTTTTGCATCATTTAGTGTGTCATGGTAACACTTAGAGAGCCAGTTTGGTGTAGTGGTTAAATGTGCGGACTCTAATCTGGGAGAACCAGGTTTGATTCCCCACTCCTCCACTTGCACCTGCTGATGTGACCTTGGGTCAGTCACAAGCTCTGGCACAGCTGTTCCTGAAAGAGCAGTTTGTGCCAGAGTTCTCTCAGCCCCACCCACCTCACAGGGTGTCTGTTGTGGGGAGGGGAAGGGAAAGGCGTTTGTAAGCCGCTCTGAGACTCCAAGTGAAGGGCGGGGTATAAATCCAATCTCTTCTTCTTCTTCTTATGCTTTGCTTCAGTTCTGTCTTTTAGACTTCTGGTTGGTTCTACAACCCAAATCCTATTTCACTGTTTATGGAGTGTCCCAGCATGTCGATTGTACTGACTCACTCTGTGTAATCCGCCTTGAGTCGCAGGGAGAAAGGCAGACGGTAAAGAATGTAAATGAATAAGTAAAGATGGGACTGGTCCACGTTTAGTGGCTAACAGAGCAGTTCTGTTCCAGACTTAGGAGAACATTATTGCTGTATCCCCCTGGTCGTGGAGCAAAGCCATACAGGACGGTAGATTCACTGCAGCAGCAGAACAGTACCACTGCGCTGGCATAGGGGTGCCCACTGGCAGCATCACTGATTGATGGTGGCGGAGCTGATAGATCTTCTCACTCCGAGGGTGCTCATGCTCTGCAGTCATGCAAAGATACGCCAATAGAAGAGATGGCGTAAGTTCCCTCCTGGAACCAGTGGGAAGCCCAAATGTGGTCATTTCCTCCCTCCAAACCCACAACCACATTGGAGGGTAATATGTCGATTAACGGAGCAGCCAATCACTGCACATTCTGAGGAGCGCGTCCAGCACTGGGCTGCATCACTCTGATCCTGCGTTTGTAGAGATGCAGACAGGGAGTTTGGTGAGAGTGAGCGTCACTCGCAGGGTAAAAGACAAGCAGCCAGCTAACTGCAGATATCTTACGTTCTTGGGAGGAATCATTATTCGTAATGTCCTTTACTAGGAATGAAAACAGGTCTCACTGTTTATCTCTGGTAAAATCTACTGACTCATATGAATGTGTCTCCGTGGAAGGTCTTTGAGAAGGGAGGGGCTAGCTAAAATGTGAAGGGTAGCACATGTTCGGCTGTACTATGTTAAGAGTGAACAAAGCCATTCAAACCAAATTCTTTGAGGTAGTTTAATCTCCCCCAAAGACTGTGGAGATTCCAGTTTGGGTGTAGTGGTTAAGTGTGCGGACTCTAATCTGGGAGAACTGGGTCTGATTCCCCAACTCCTCCACTTGCACCTGGCTGGATGACCTTGGGCAAGCCATAGTCCTGTCAGAGTTGTCCTTGAAAGGGCAGTTTTTGAAGAGCTCTCTCAGCCCCACCTACCTCACAGGCGATGCTCCCTCTAAGCTATGGAGTCCTGTGAGCAAAAATTCTACTTTGTGAGCTCCTGGCATTAAAGTTGTGAGCAGGTGATTTGGCTACTGCATCAATTAGTTTGCTCTGGAGCCCCATCCTTCCCGAGCTAAGACAAAAATGTGTGAGTTGGAGGCTAAAAAACTGTTGAGCTAGTTCACACCAACTCAGCTTAGAGGGAACACTGCTCACAGAGTGTCTGTTGTGGGGAGGGGGAGGGAAAGGAGTTAGTCAGCCGCTCAGAGACTCCCGACTGAAGGGCGGGGGTATCAATCCAATCTCCTCCCCCCCCCCTCCTGTCTTCTCATAGGAGCCGTATCCTGTAGGCAGAAGAAGAGGGGTTGCCGTGTTAATCCTTAAGAAACAGAGGTGGAGCCAGAAAGGAGCCCAGGCTCTGCAGCCGAGTCGCAGAGAGGGCTGGTCTCTCTTTTCCGCCCGTGTGCTCTGTGTTGGGGGCCTCCTGGCCAGCAGTGGCTCAGCTGTGGCCTTGGGGCACGTGGCCACTGGCTGTCGGGAGGGTCGGCACTGCATCTCTCCTTTCCTGTGTCTGCGGGTAGCCCTGCTGGCCTGCCGTAGAAGAACAGGACTTGAGTCCAGGGGGGCACCTGAGAGACCGACAAGAGTTTCAGGGCGGGAGCTTCCAAAAGGGCCAACGATCTTGTCGGTCTCTCGGGTGCTCCCGGACTTGGATTTTGCACCTTTGGTGTGTATCTCGACCTCTGGAATGCAAACCCTGGCTTTTTGGTTGGATCATGGCAGTCCTGGGCAGGGAAGGACCATGGCTTAGTGGTGGGATAACTGCTGGGAGTGCAGAAGGTCCCAGGCTCAGTCCCTGGCAGTAACTGACGCGAAAGACCCCTGCCTGAGACCCTGGACAGCAGCTGCCAGTCTTAGCAGACTGTGCCGGCTTTGAGGGACCGACGAGGATCTGGTTCCGTGTGCAGTGGCTTCTTGTGTGCTCATGTGTGCATCAAGGCTCCTTCCGTTGCCGTGTGAATGAGTGCGTCTGTGGAAAGACAGGTGTGTGGGATCTGCCCCCCTCCATCCCAGTGGGGCCACTGGGTGCTGGCACTCCTGAGCGCGTGCTGCCAGCCCACCCAGTTCGATTTCTCAGGCTGATGGGTCTGCCCTGCAGGGGTATAACTCAGGGCAAAATTGGATAATTAGGATAAATTGAAGGCCTAACCTTCATCACAACCTGCATTCTTATGACAGCACATTCTGGGGAGAGGGGAAGGCTGCAGACAGCTGGGGCTGCATCTGTCCCCCCCCCCCAATGGGCTAGCTAGAAGTTCAAATTTGGGGATGGCAAAGTGGAGGCGGGATTCCAGTGACCAGCAGTGTTGGCCAAAAGCAACAGAACACAGTCTGAGTCCAGAGGGGCACCAGTTCTGGGTAGAAGCTTCCGTGTGGACGTGCACATGCACAGCGTATAAACTTGGCCGGTCTTCAAGCTGCTCCTGGGCTCAGACTGTGCTCCAAAGTGGAAGAGGGTTCATGCCGACAGTAGGCTTTGGAGAAGAAGAAGAACGGGGAATCTGAATAACCTCTCCCTAAGCTGCGCCAAATGTGCAAGGGTTGCGGACGCATGCTTCCTTCATGCCGTTGAGGCTATCTCTGTCTGCCGAGGGCAGCACATGGACGATTAGGGGGCGGGGCGGGATAACTTTTGAAATCCTAACATTTCTGGTGCTGTAGGATTGGCCTCTCTGGGATCCCTTGATCCACTGGCTCTCCAGGCTGCCAGCCAACATAGCCCCGGGGAAGCTGTTCCGCCCCAGAAGCTTTTGGCCCTTCCTGTCTCCCCCCCCCCCCATCGTTTTTGCTCCAGTTTCCTAACTGAGCTCAGTAGACAGTAGACAGTGTAATTGCGGTAATATTGCGGTAATATTGGGGTCACACAGTCCTGATACCTGGGCTTATAGAAGACTTTCTCTGTGCCAGATCCCCCCCCACACACACAATTTACTACAAAGTAAAGAGATAAAAGAATAAAAGACAGCCTCCCCCCACCATTCCTTGCAGATTACCTTAGGGAACATGGGAAGATGAAGGCTGATTTATATACTGTATTTTTGTACACAGTGTGATTGAAATTGACACATTTTGTTTGTTCTTAATAAATAAAACTTTATAGATGCAAATCTTTTGCAGACATTTTGAAACTGTCTTCTCCTAAACCAGAAAATGTAGGAATATGAAACACATAGATGTGTGGACAGTAATGTGGTTGGTTTGTTAGAATTGCTGATTTGACTTTTGTTTCTGTTGTACAAGTAAAACAGTAATAAAAATCTGGAATTGGGTGTCTGGAGCAACTTCCTGTATCTGCAGCCTGCATTGTGCTGCCCCTGATCAGAACAGCCGCCCCTGGCTCTTTGCATGAGTTCTGCTGCTAACCTGTGTCTGTCTCTCTTGAAGAGAAACTGTCTTTGGAAGGAATCGTGGTCCAGCGCGCAGAATGCCGGGCTGCAGCCAGCGAAAATTATATGAAATTGAAAAGGTGAGCATAAATCAAGCTTTTGTATAACTCTGCGATGTGGCTCGTGGTGCTGAAGGAAATGCGTACACTTGGGCAATACGCACAGTTTGGAGAGGAGCACTGCATGATGTCATTGCCCTGCTGTCTTTGACAAGCTCCCCACCCCGACCCCGTCACGCAGTGGCCTCTGGCCGCACGGTTGAAGGGGATGGCTTGGGCAGGACCGTGGCCCTCAGCTTGCCCAGCTGCTCAGTCCATGTGCACCTCAGGGCCAGCCTCGGGGCCTTCGGGCAGTAGGGGCACTGCCTCGCACACTTTCTGATTCGGGGTGGGGGTGGGGGGCGGGAGTTGTGAGTTATAACAGGGGTCCCCAACCATTTTGAGTCTGTGGGTGCCTTTGGAACTCTGACACTTGATGGTGAGCACTGTCACAACATGGCTGCCGCAGGAGGAGGAGCCATCCGCAAAATCTCAGGAAGTGACGTCATGCACAACTCTGATAGCAACTCCTTGACACTTCCGGCAGAAACTCTGCTCGACAGGGTGCCTTCTAAAATGAACGTATTGTTTAAAAATATTTCCTTGCCTACACACAGCTTGCCTTCAGTCACCCAGTGAAGATCCTTGTGCTGTGCTGTGGTGGCATCTGGTGCCAAAGCAACAGGTTAAGAATCTGCAGAGCCAGTCCGATCTCCAGTGGCCAGTCAGAAGCCCTGCTGGGCAAAAGCCCCACCTGGTCCCGCCCACTTTTTAGTAATACTTGTTGGGCACCAGGAAAGGTGTCAGCGTGGGCCCAGAATCACAGCGAAACTCTTCAGGACCCAGTACTTGAGAGCTTGAACACGGAAGGCCAGGCTGGGCCATAAGGACTGGAACTGCAGCACTCTTAACACTGGAGCAAAGGGAAGACTGCACCTGTGTCATAGTCTGCTGCAACCCAGGTTGTTGGCTCTTAACTGGCAGCTGGCCCTCAAGAGCCCTGGCACCTGGGAGCAGGGAGACCGTGGTGTTGGTTTCTTTCTTTTTCTTTTTTAATAAATTTATTTTCCAAGTTTTCACCTTTACATTCCATATATATAGTATAAGATAATTCATCAAACATTTATACATCTCCATAGATTGTTGTTTTCGAATTATAATATTTTCACTAGCGCTTTTTCCACACATTATACTCTTCTTTTATATTTTAGCCAGTCGTATATATACTTCCATCTTTTCCAAAATACATTCTCTGATTTGTTTTTCAATTCTAAGCTCAGTTTATCCAATTCTGCAATGTCTAAAATCTTATGTTTGAGTTCTTTTATCGATGGTATATGTTTTGATTTCCACCGTCTTGCTATCAATATTCTTGCTGCTGTTTATATATATATTATTATTACCTTGTGATTTTTTATATTGTCCGGGATCATGTTTAATAAATATATTTCAGGTTTCATAGGTAGATTTATTTTAAATACTTCTCGTATGATTTTGTGTATTTTTTTCCAATATTGTTGTAGTTTCCCACATCTCCACCAAATATGGAGATATGTCCCTACGTTTTTTCCACATCTCCAACATAAGTTTGAAGATTGGGGGAAACATTTGGCAATTTTATCAGGGGTCCAATGCCACCTGTAAAACATTTTATAGATATTTTCTTTGTAGGGGATTGCTTTCATATATTTTATTGACTTCCACAACTTGTTCCATTGAGCTATATTTACGGGGGTTCCTATCTCTTTGTCCCAGGTCATCATTGACTTTTTAATAGTATCTTTTTCTAATGCTTCCTCCAATAGTTTAGAATACAGTTTCTGGATTAATTTATCGTTAGACGGAAGCCATATTTTATCTATTTCGTTTTGATTAGTATAGAATCCTGTTTTTTTATCTGTCGCGTATCGAGTGTTAATTATGTTTTGGTCCCACCAAGTTATTTTAATATTTTCTTTTCTTAATACATCTTCATTTTTAAGTTCCATTTTTTCATTCAGGAGAGTGCCGTATGTTAGTTTGGGTTGACCTATCAGTACTGATGGTTTTATGAAGGCTTCCAATGGGGAAATCCATAGAGGAGTCTTATTATAAAATTTACTTTTTATAATGTTCCAGGTTTTCATCAAAGCTGTTCTTATTATATTTGTATGGAAGCTAGAGTGGATTTTATCTTTTCCATACCACATATATGCATGCCATCCCATTGGGAGATCTGCTCCTTCTAATATCAATGTTCTTTCATCTTTAAGTTGGGCCCATTCTTTAATCCATGTCATTGCCGCTGAGTGGTAGTATAGCTGCCAATTTGGCAGTGCAAATCCACCTTTCATCTTACTATCTTGTAGATATTTAGTTTTAATTCTTTGTCTTTTTGATTGCCAAATAAATTTATTTGTTATTTTCTCTAAATCTTTAAGGAACTCATAATTTTTAAGTATTGGTAGGTTTTGCGCTAGAAACAAGAATCTTGGTAAAATATTCATCTTTATGGTCGCTATCCTACCCATTAGAGACAGGTGTTTTCGTTCCCAGTTTTTCAAATCTATACTGATTTCTGTGAGGAGTTTTTTGTAATTGTTTTCAAATAGCTTTGCAGAGTCATCTGATAGCCAAATACCTAAGTATTTGGCCTTTTGTACTACTTCCATTTTTGACATTTCCTTTAATTTTTTTATCAGTCTTTGGGAGCAGTTTTTGACTATTATCTTGGTTTTTTGGATATTAATTTTGAACCCAGCTACCTGGCCATATTCTTTTATATCGTCTATTAAGATTGGTAGTGTTTCTTCCGGCTCTTCCAATACAAATATTAAATCATCGGCAAAGGCCTGAACTTTAAACTCTTCTCCATTTATTTGTAGCCCTTTTATTGTTTTGTTAGACCTGATTTTATCAATTAATGACTCAATTATAAATATAAATAATAGTGGGGAGAGGGGGCAACCTTGCCTTGTGCCTTTCTGAATTTGGATACTTTGGGACGCTTCGCCATTTATTAATATTTTGGCACTTTGTTTGTTATACATAGCCTTAATCATTGTATAAAAATTTTCCCCACACTCCCATAGCTCTAGTTTTTTAAACATATATGTCCAATTTATATTGTCGAATGCTTTCTCTGCATCTAAGAGAATTAAAGCCATTTGTTTCCCAGGTTGCATTGCGTAGTATTCTAACACATTTATTATATTCCTTACGTTGTTTTGTATCTTTCTCTTAGGTAAGAATCCTGATTGATCTTTTTGAATTACTTTCGAAAGCACTCTTTTCATCCTGTTGGCCATTATTTTTGCAAAGATTTTATAATCGGTATTTAATAATGAGATGGGCCTATAGTTCTTTATTTCTTCCTCATCGGAATTTGGTTTATGTATCAAAGTGATCAGTGCCTCATTCCATGAGGTCGGGATTAGTTTTGACTGGGGTATATTATTAATTAATTCTTTAAATGGTTTTAGTATCTGCTCCTCAAATATCTGATAAAATTCAGTTGGGATTCCATCAGGACCTGGCGATTTCTTTTCCCCCCCGTCTTTTATCGCTTCCATTATCTCAGTGATTTCAATAGGGTTATTTAGTACGTCTAACTGTTCTTTGTTAAATTTCCCTTTTTCCGTTTTTTTTTGGTAATCTTGTATTTCTTCATCTCCTATTTCATCTTTTTTATATAGATTCCCATAAAATTTTAGAATTATCTTTTCTAAATCTTTTTGTAGTGTCATTTCTTCTCCATTCTCATTTTTAAGTCTTTTTATTATTCTTTTTTCCTTTTCTTTTTTTAACTTATAAGCTAGCCATCTTGTGGGTTTATTGGCATTCTCAAAATAATATAGTTTTGCCCTTTCTATTTTCATTGCTGTTTCTTTTGTTAGTAGTAAATTAAGTTGATGCTGTATCTTATTTATTCTATTTCTTACATTTTTTAAATCTTTCTTTGATTTTATATTCCTATTTTCTTCTTTTTGTATTGCCCTAGTTAACGTATCAAATTTCTCTCTCTCTTGTTTCTTTTTCCACGCCCCCTGATTTATCCACCATCCTCTTATGAATGCTTTGAATGCATCCCATATTATCTCTATGGAGGTATCTTTGGAGGTATTGTTTCTAAAAAACTCCTGTAACAAAGTTTTGGTTTTCTTCACTATCTCTTTATCCTTCAATAAATTTAGATTCATTGTCCATCTTGGTTTCCTAGTATTTGTTTTGAGTTTTAGAAATATCGGGTTATGGTCAGCAAAGGAACTAGGTAGTATTTGTATCTCCTCTATACTTTGGACAAGGTCTATCGACACCCATGCCATATCTATTCTCGACCACGCGCTATGTCGAGCTGAGTAATAGGTGTATTCTTTTTTTTCTATGTTTTTAATTCTCCAGATATCTATTAGTGATAGTTCTTCTGCCAGATCTAAAAAGGTTTTAGGTAGGTTGTTGCTTGATTTTGGTGCCTTAGATTTTGTATATTTCCTATCTAGTATTGGGTCATATACCGAATTATAGTCTCCTATCACACATATTTCCTCAAAGGTTGTCCCCATCAATTTCTCTTGGATTTGTTTAAAGAAAAATGCTTGATTTTGATTAGGTGTGTAAATGTTTAATATCAAGGTTCTCTTTCGATTGACACTGCCACACCTCTTCCCTCTTCTAGTACGAATTCTAACTTAGGTTGTAGGTGGTCTTTTGGTGGCTGTTTTAAAGGGGAAAAAGACTTAAAACTGGAATATGTGTTAGCATATCTAAAAGATGAAGGACATAGACGTGAAATGTCTCAGACTGCAAATGACTTGTCTCTCCTCAGCATAAAGCGTGATTATAAAAGGGAGAATGCCTAGAGAGATATAAAATGCCGCAACTGTGGGAAATTCGTGCATATGGCAAGACATTGTAGATCAAAGACTTTACCAGAACAAAGAGATCGCCCCACATCTTACCACTCTGAAACCAGACCCCCTAAGGGGCGTGGCGAAGGAAAGCCAAGTAAGGCTAGTGATCACTATGAGAAACGAGGTGTGTTTGTTATCACAGAGAAACAGCAT